CCATCACCAGTGTGTGAATGTGTGAATGTGTAAAGCGCTTTGGGGTCCTTATGGACTAGTAAAGTGCTTTACAACTACAGGCCATTTACCTAACTGTATGTCTAAAATGTGATAAATAAAGTTTAACAAAAAAACCCAAAACTTTTTAGCAACTCAAACAGTTAAATAAGCCAAAGACACGGTCAGGCAGTTACATTTGATAACATGCTAAGGGTTGAATCACACAATATCACAGGAGCATAGGTTTAGAGTTTTAATTGCTTTTACATTATGGAAGTCTGTGAACTTTATCCAGTAAAATGAGTAAATTAATCAAATAAAATTTGTTTGCCCTATTTGCAGATTAATCAAAAACATATTTCCCATAACAGAGAGAGAAGTCAGAATAGATAAAAGAAACAACAAAAGTACAAAAGTGTATGATATGATGTATGATATAAAAACAAAAAGTTTTTATATCATACAAGAAAAGTTCTGGTGGGGTATAAACGATGAATGAGTCAAAAGACATTTTCTTTACTTTTTTGGTTAACAGGAATTTCGAAGGAAAGGTCAAATTCTCTTCCACTCCAGGTCCCAGTATAAATTATTCCCATAAGGAACGGCCATCGGGACACAAATTGTGTCTTTCTGCACTGGAGTCCTCACTGCATGCCAGATGGTGAGGAGAAACCCACTGTTTGTATCACGTACACTGAGTGTAGGAGAAAAGAACTACTCAGAGCTGGATTAGCTGTAATAGTTGGTGTACAGTATCTCCATCAGTACTTGTATGGCAGGGCGTTTATCATGATGAAGGTGGTGATACCAGAACGACGTCCTTGCCCCGTGCTGGAACAGCTACATCACAGTCGGGAATGTGAAGGGCCTGGCCAGAAGTTACCTGTGGTGGCCACATATGGAGACTGACATTGAGCATGAGGCAAAGTCCCGCATTACAAGAGCACAGACACAGGCCTGCTACACCCCTGAGAGTGGTGAGCGGTGCAAACTTTCAAGGAAAAAACGAGTACTGGACACACACTGTTAAACATGGCCGAATCACACCACAATCAACAATAGGAGGTCTCCCACTGAGTTGATGACGGGCAGGAAGTTGAGGTGTACACTTGATCTTATGCACCCCGACTTGAAACAGAACGTGGCCTCAAACAAGATATCCAAAGATGGTTCCATGACAGACGTGCCAAGGAGTGCACTCGTTATCAGAGACGCAGTGTATACCAGAAACTATACAAATAGATACCAGGGCTTATACAGGAGATGACGGGCCTGTTTCCTACACAGTGATGTTGGGCAATGGAAAGGTGGTGAAGCAGCACATAGATCAGCTGTTGGCCCGCCTCGAGCCTTACTTACCAGCAGGAGTGCCTGAGGGCCGCCAGGACGAGCCCACAACGGAGAATAGTGTCTCACAGGAGTTGCCAGCCACAGAGTTTTGACGATTAAAAAGAAGCAGGAGACCTCTGGAGCATATGAGAGACTTTGTGCAGTGACTGACAATAACAGGAAGGGGCACTGACAGGATTTTACTGTTATAGTGAACCTAAGTCTGTCGGATCGCTGGTTAATTAGTAGTGAGTGAAATTTGAGTAAAAATTGTGGGGTTTGTTTTATATTTTAATTAAAGGGTAAGTTTTATATGGGTATTTTATTTACTAATTAAACTACAGAGTAGTTTCAGTTAAACGGGGAGGAACATTATGAAGTAACAGTTGGTGCACACGTTTTTGACCACCAGGGGGCAGCAGTGTTTTGATGCTGTGCCGGTGTCTTTATGGCTGTGAGGTCGAAGCCGTCTCTGTTATTCCCTAATGCTCAAAATATTACAAAGAAATTAAAATTAGCTTCTGCTTTGCTCTGATGTGCAGAAGGAAAAAACGTTTTTTCTTTCGATCCGCCTGAAGAACTTTTGTAACGCAACTACACAACTAAATGTAGTCCAGTAACGCGTTACATTGACGCCTTACTGGAAATGTAAAGATGGCATTGTAACCAGTGCTGCTTGTTTTTCTACAGAACCGTGTTGTTCCGGTGTCCGGCCGCACGTGGAGCTCGCTCACGCTACAGGCGGAACAAACGCTCGCGCGCTCACAGCTGACGGCGGAAGTAGCCTGACGTCACTGAGATTTCGGGAGCAAAGATGGCGGCCACCTTCCAGAGTTTCAGCTTGTAAGTGAAAATGAAACAGTAACATCACACAGCCTGAGTCACGGTCCACGCTGAGTGGAGAGGCGTGTCCGTGTTTAGTCGGAGTGTAACTACAGCGACACGCGTTTACGTTAACGTTAGCTTCTCGCTAATTAACTGACGCTAACGTCCATTTTATCCCAACTTGTTTTGTTTTTTAAACAATTTCCATTCAGTTGTTTATAATCACATTTAAATATGTGAGCAACAGTCAGTAACGGAGCTTCTGAGCGAGGTTAGAAGATGTGATTGAGCCGTGTTTCAGAGCAGTAACGGCTCCGTCAGCGCTGTCGGTGTTAATGTGAGCTGCTCATGGTGGCTTAACCCGGTCTTGTCTTCATCAGGCGCACCACACCAGAGAAGTTTTACGTAGAAGCTTGTGATGATGGCTCCGTGGATGTCCTGGCTATTGACAGGGTGTCAACTGAGATGACTCTAACAGGTAAGCAAATGGACACGCCCCCTGCCAAAGGTCGGGATGCTGTCTAAAAATGTAGAAGAAAACAAACGACGGAGACCATTTAAACCTTTAACGAAAAGCCCAAAGAAAACCTGCTCGTTATGGTGAATGGACAGCTTCTCTGCCTGAGCAGGCGAAGCACTTCACACAACCTGCCTCATTCACCCAGCAGCTGTTTCTGTGTAAGTGCTCACACTCCAACCCGGTCGGTACCTTGCCTAAGGATATTTGGCTTGTAGGCTGAAGCACTGAAGG